CCCCCCCTGCTGGCCTGATTTATGCCTAACTGCTCCCCTGCCAGCATGATTGTTCCCAACTGCCCTCCCCTGCGGGGCTGAGGGGATTAGGGGACTGTGGCTGGATAAGGCTGGATACTAGGGACTGGGGGGGCAGGGGGGCTGAGTGGACTGGGGGACTGAGGCGGGGCTGAGGGAACTGGGCACCGCCATCTTGTGGCTGTGGGTGCTGCCATCTTGTGAGGGTGTGGTGGTCAATTAGCGTATTCCCTCTTTATTAGATAGGATAATTACAGTAATTTGAATTTAAAAGTTAGGTGTAGGTCACAAGGCTAATGGAGTTCTGGGCAGTTTGCAAGACTGTATACACATCTTTCTAGTCTTGGTCCTATCCAACCCTCGGCCTCTCTCCATTAATTCACTGAGAAGGTACACCTGGCAATAGATGCATAGGTTAATTAATTCTTGGTCTTGGGGATTCAGAACATATATTAGTTCTGAAAAAACACACCTACTTACCAAAACTGGATAACTATGGATGGCATTTGCAATTAAACTAGGTGAGAAGCTTTTCTTATGAACCCACAAATAGCAAATGGCAAATCACCAACCTGCCTGGTATTGATTTCTATGCCAGTAGAGGAATTGGGATAGCATCTGATAGATGAGAAATGGGGAATCCCACATCAGCCAGCTGAAATGAGTTTTTTTCCCCCTCTCTAATAGTGCAAGGTACCCACAGTAAAGAATAGAGAGATTGGAGTAGTGTAACCTAGTGAAATCTCAAAACAGACTTGCCAAGACAAAACTGCCTTTTAGGGACCAGACTCATACTGAGAAGAAAGTACTAAAAATGGAATAAAAGTAAGCAGGAGAGAGAGTAGACAAAGAGGACTAGATTAAACTTCAGGGGAATTAAACTTGAGCCAGGAAAGTCTTAGAAAGCAAGCCATCATATTTCTGAACATTAGTCAAAATCAGTAAACAAGGTAGCTCCATTAAAGTCAGAAGCTTTTCTGAATCCTGCATTCTCAAAGTTGAGAAAAATAATTTCACATAAAAATGAACAATCGAAAAATGTCAAATCTCAAGATTATCAAGATGTAGATGTATGAATGCATGCTTTAGTAAACAAAATGGAGAAAGGGTCTGAAAAATTAATTTAAGGGGGAAATCAGCAAAGCGTTCATGGAGGCTGTAGCATTTGACATGGGCCCACCTTTGCATCTAATTCAGAGCTGAATGTTGAGTTCTATTAATAGTGCAGCCTGAAGGAGGCGTTAGTGCTGGTTCCTGTTATGTTTAAGGGATGCGTTTGTTCTGGCCACTATTATGTGCTGTTTGATATCACACTGGAATGGGATAAGGTGTTAAGATCATTACTTCTGAGGGCAAAAGAGAAGGGCAAGGGATATTGAGAATATTGTAATTTACTGATTTCATGTAGGATTGCTTATCCATTTGCCTTATATATTATTGCTCGACACTCTTCTGCCCCTACTTTCATCTTAATATAGACAAATTTTTTTCTGGGAAGATCTGGGCCTGTCATTTACAATCACTAGTGTTCTGCCAGTTGCTTAATTGCAAACAATACTTGATGATTGTTTTCTCTCATTCCATATCCAATTATTTTATTCAACAAATTGGTTAAATGCTTATTATATACTAGAGGCCCGGTGCATGAAAATCGTGCGGAGGTGTGGGTGTCCCTCAGCCTGGCCTGCACCCTCTCCAATCCGGCACCTCTGGTTCCTAACGGCTCACCTGCCTGCCTGCCTGATCGCCCCTAACCCTAACCGCCTCTGCCTTGGCCCCTGCCACCGTGGCTTTGTCTGGAAGCATGTCCAGATATCCTGCTGGGAGCCGGTCCATCCTTGCTGTTTCAAGGGACCTGGCATATATGGCATACTGTTCTTAATATGCTTGC